CTAGGAGATCCGCCCTGGTCTAGCCACTCGGAACAGCTCCCTGCGCCCTGCCCCGCCCCGCCTCGCCTCACCTCGCTCAGGATGACCCACACAGGAGAGTCTGTCTGGATGGAGAGGCGCAGTGCTTCCAGGGGGCCAAAGGCAGGGTCCACCTCACCCTCCGCCACACCCTTGTAGAAGGAGCCTGGGGGAGGGCAGCGCTGAGAGGCCGTCCCAAGACCCCTGTCGCCCAGCCTCTCCCACACCTCTGCGGGCCTGACCCCACTCACCGATCTGAAGGTAGCCGTCAGGGCTCCGAGGGTACCGGAGGGTGGCTGAGCGGCCCTCCTGCAGGGCCTCCTTGTCAGACTGGGGATTCTGGAGGCAAAATCAAGGGGCTGAAGCCCGTGGCTGGGGGTGGGCAGGCCTCAGGGCACCCCCACAGCGTTCACACTCACATCGAAGGGCAGCACCTCCACAGACGTGTTGAAGAGCTTGTCTTCTGGGTGCTCGATGTTCCCGCTGCGGAAGAAGAACCTGCGCCAGACAGGCCTGTGAGCTGCCGCAGGCCAGGCACGCCCAGCAGGGAAAGGCCGGGCTGGCCTGGGTGGCAGCAGGTGGGCTCCGGGGGAGGCTGCGCTAGGCAACCAGGGCCTTACTGATAGGGACGATGGTGATGGGCAATGTCGCTGAGCTCCTGTGGGCATGCCTGACTCAGTCTTTACAAGCTAGCTACTGTTATGAGGCCGACTTTTCAGATAAGGAAACTGGGGCATGATGAGGTTAAGTAATTTACGGGGAGTCACAGAGGGACATATGCAGGTCCAGAAATGTGTGGTGAGGCCTGTACCCTGGTGGCCACCCTGCCCCTCCTCCAAAGTGGACCTGTGGGTACTGCCACTGACCGCTCAAGACGCAGAGGCTGGAAGAAGCGGAAGCGGATGAAGTCCCCCGCGGCGGGCGTGAAGGCCCAGAAGAAATCCTCCCGCAGGTAGGCCTTCTCCAGGGTGAAGTGCTGGTACGTCTTGAGGCTGGTGCTCACTTCCGCCGGCGGGTTCACGTGCTCCTTCCGCAGAGCCTGCTTCCCAAAGTCCTTGTCCTGCAACCAAGGAGGGACAGCAGTGCCAGAGTGGGCCTGGACGCGCCCTGCCACTCCCTCGCCCCGCCTCCGCCTGGGCTCTGCGGGTCCCGGGCCAGGTTCCAGTGGGGAAGAGCTCACCTTCAGTTTCTGGATCTTGCCGGCCAGCGAGGAGTGAGTGCCCACGTGTTGGAAGAGGGATGGCTTGAAGCGGATCCGCAGGTTGGCCTTCTGCCGGTCACAGTGCTTCTGCGGAGGAAGGGTGACACCCTAGGGCTCAGCTCAGCCCTGCCTCCAGGCGAGTGCTTCTTACGGCAGCAGCGCCATCTCCCTGCGTCATGCGCGGAGACACCGACACAGTCCATGCTAGAGGCTGCATGCCCCACCGCCCCGCCCCCTCTGCGCTGCCCTGCTCACCGCGTCCTTCTCAGGGTTGCAGACCTTCACCCACAAAATGTGGTCCAGAAGCCAGTCGATGGGCTTGTCCCGGTAGAACATGAGGATGAACTCCACAATGAGACTCAGGTCCAGCGACTTAAACATCTTCCCTGGAGGTGGGAGTGGGTGGAAAGGGGTAATGGGTGGGCAGCTCTGCCCTGCTTTACTTCCTCTTAGTTCCTGTGGGGGCCACCGGGGAGGGTCTCACAGCAAACCCTGTGGGCTGGCTGCAGGCAGGCGTGCGCACAAAGGGGTGAATGGGGATGGTGAGTGCAGAGATCCCCGATGCAGAGGGCGGGTGGGAGCAGACCAGGAGCTGCGCCGGGTGCTCCATGCAGGGTCCGATCTGGGCGAAGGCTGACAGCATGACAGTGCACGATGCTGGGGTGAAGGGCAGGGGGCTGAGAGGTGAGGACAGAAAGGCGGAGGTGGGCGGGACTGAGAGGCTCTGGGCAGGTCAGTGGGGTGGGGTGGGGGTGGCACACCTATGAAGCCCAGCTGGGAGAACTCCAGGATCATCCAGTCGTCTGAGGGCTGCTGCAGCGCGAAGTTCTTCATGGTGCTCAGGTAGTTGGGCTTGGCCACAATGTCATCCTCCAGCTGCACAGTGGTGGACAGAAGGGGCTTGGAATCAGCATAGCCCCGGGGTAGCGCTGGACTCCCCACCCAGGCCCAGCAGCAGGGAGGTGGGGGGGCAGGGTCTCAGGCTGACCTGCACGTAGTAGATGCCCTTGGACTGTGCGTACATCATGAGGAAGCAGTAATCGAGGTTCTGTTTGGTCCTCCACCTGTGGGCCAGGAGGGGCCTCTGGAGCTCAGACCCCTCCACCTCCCGGGTGACTACCACCCTCCTCCCCAGGTGGCGGTCCTCCAGTGGAGAAACAGAGGCACTGGCAGGGAAGTGCCTGGGACTCAGACACCAACAGATTGGGTTCTCAGCACAGGTGGGCCAGCTGCTGAGAGCATGGGGGGGGGGGGGTTGCTGGTACCTGACTCTCTCCTTGGGATCCCCAAAGGACTCTCGGAGACGGGAGAAGTCAGGGTAGAAGTGGGGGGAAGGGGAGATGACCTCTAGGAGCCCGGAATGGATCTCCGTGGGGAACCTGGGGGACAGGAAGGCACAGTGGGTGTGCAGCCCCCAGGGACTGCAGCAGGGACAGAGCTGAGCCACCCAGACCCAGTCTCTTTCTTAAGGCCCACCAGGCAGACATCCCTCAACACCACACCTGTCCTACGGAGGCAGTGAGGCTCCAGAGGGGCTGAGCCACCTCTACATACCCACCCCCTTACAGCCAAGATGGGAAGCACCCTTTCCCACGGAGGAAAGGCACATCGCGTGTGGGAGGCGGGCACCTGCCTGTCCCACACCCTGCAGAGGGCCCTCCCTCCACTAGCTCTGTGGGGCTGCCAGTACTCACAAGGCCTTGATGTTCTCCGTCACCACCGAGGTGTACTGTGGGTCAGTCTGTGGGGAGACCAAGTGCCCTCCCTAAGCTGGCTGCCTCCCCACATGGCCTGGAAGAAGGAGTTAGGGAGGAGGAGGCAAGCTTCGGATGGCCCTACACACGGAGGGGGTGAGCCCCCATCCTGAGGGCCAAGTAAGGCTGGGCCTCGAGGCCACGGGTCCCTCCAGAAAAGCCCTTTGGGGTACCTGGGTCCACGGGGCGGGGGAAGGGCGAACTAGGTAACTGGCATATCCACGAGGGGGCGCTACAATGTTTCTTTTTAACGATAAATTTGTGAATGAAACTGACGGCTGAACTTCTCGTAGCTTTTTCCTCTGGAATGTTGCTCTGTTTTCATTTCTCCTTCATGTGATTTTGTGCCGTGTTCCTCCTCTGAATGTCCCCCCGACCCCACGCCCCAGCCCACTCGCCTCGGCGATCAGCACCACGATGACCGAGTCCTCCTTCTCCTGTGGGCTCAGCTCCGAGATGAGCGAGTGCAGCGTGTCTGTCAGGTAGGAGTGCACCTCGCGCCGCACGCTGGGGATGCCCATCACCACCGACACTGCAGGGGCGCGGAGGGTCGAAACTGGGCAGGGCGCCGGCAAGGCCCCCCGACCGCCTCTGGCCCCTCCCGGCCCTGCCCCTACCTCCGGTGCGGCCCTGGCCCACGCGCACGGCCGGCTGCAGGCTGCTTTCCTTGGCCAGCAGGTGCGGCAGGTGGTGGAAGACGGTGGGCAGGTGGAGAACGTGCTTGTGTGAGACGTTCCACGGCTTCAGTCGTGGATCCTCTGGTGGGTCGCAAGGGGACGGGTCAGACAGCCGGCCTACGGTCAGCCCCACCTCCCCTGCCGCTTGGGCCCCAACGCCGCTCACCAGTTAGGCGGCCCCAGGTGCGGTTGCCGTCCCCATCTCTCAGTGCCTGCCTCTCCGACACGGCCCTCTTGATCTCGTCCAGCACCAGGTTGAGCTCCTTGGAGCGCTTGAGGCTCTCCTGCTCAGCCGCATGCAACCGGTCCCGCAGCGCCAGGAACTCCCGCTGATACACGTCCACCACATCGCCTGTGCGTGGTACACACGCTGTCAGCCTGGAGCTGGCCTGCTGCCCCTTGAGTGTGCCAGCACACACACTTGCAGCCCATCTGTGCTACAGCCCATCTACATCTGTTCTACCTGATGTTCCAGGTGGGTCACCAACACTCACACTTGGGGGAGAAGAGCCTCCACTGGGGAGATTAGCCCTCTCCAGTATCCACCCCCCCCACACTTTCTCCTTTGAGGAGGTATCTGAAGCAGGAGGTCTGCCGGATCACTTTCAGCCCCAGGTGAGACAATCCTAAGCAGGGGCTGGAACAGCCTCAGACTGAATCCTCTCCAGCGAGTGGCTCCCCAAGCCTCCTCTTGCTGCTTCTTACAGCGTCTGCTCCTTCCAGGAGGTGGGACACCCAATGTCCCATCCATGGCACAAGGACGCAGCCTTCCTCAAGGGGCTTTTTAGCCCCCAGCCTTCCTCTCTCCCACCTCTCAGCCTCTGCACTTTGCTCCCCACCCTCCTTCACGGAGATCACAGGCAGCCCCATCCCCAAGACCCTCTGGGGATAGATAACCTCCCTGGACGCCCCCCCCCCCAACCTCCAAGTAGGACTGAGCCCCGGGCCTATCCATCACTGTCCTCAGAGTCAGTCCCTGGTTGCTCATTCTGCACAGGGCACCAGTCTCACACCCTGGGGGGCTGCTGCAGCTGCAGCCCCCAGTACTCAGAGGAACAAATGAAGTTGAGAAATGAGCCCAGGGTCACTCAGCGAGTCAGTGGGCAGAGAGGGGACACAAGCTCTGAATGTCCTGAGGCCTCCTTCTCTGGAGACCTGTGCTGGGCCTGGGCCACCTCAAAGGGCCTGCATGCTACCCTGGGGGACCTATGTCAGAGCCTCTGGCTGGGCCTCAGCTGCGGGCATTAGGGGTGCAGGTGGGCCAGGAGAACACAGAGGTAGGACTGCCTGATGGTGGAGAGGAATTCCCAGGGTGCAAGTACCTGGCTCCACTGGTCTGACAGGGCCCAGCGAGCAAGAATGTCACAAACAACACCCTGCCTGAGGTGCACTCAACACCTTCTCTGATCTCACTTTGCCCATTTCATCTGCCATCACACACAACTCCTTTCCCTTGTCTACTGTCTGTGCCTTCACGCATGCTGTCTCTTCCGCCTGGGATCCCTTTTCTCTTCTGGGCTGAATGAATAGCCACATAGCCTTCAAGGCCTGGTGTCAAAGTCTCCAAGTCTAGGAAGCCTTCCAGAACTCTCCCACTCCAGGCAGCGCTCTGTTCCTTGGTCCCTGGTAGGGTCACAGCCTCCAGAATGCCTTGTGCACCAAAAGTCACAACCAAGGCAAAGTTTGGTCACCTCAGGCCACACCTCCTTCTGCAGCTGCCTTGGAGGGCCAAGGTCTCAAGGTCTCAGTGCTAAGTCCAGGGCAAGAGGAGAGGGTAGCCCCTAGGAGGAGGGAGGGGGAGAAAGGCGGATCCTCGAGAGGCATTCCAAACCCAGCTCCTGCGAGCCTCCCTCCACTCCCTGCCTGCCTGGGGCTAAAGGCAGAGGCCACCTGTGCCTCAGAACCTGGGGGGGAGGGGGTCAGGTTACCCAATCCGCGAGGCTCTGCGCAAGGTTCCAAGGCCAGGTTATCCTGGAAACCTGACCCCTTGAATGGGAGCCAGCCACCCCGGACACTCCCCTGCCTAACCTAGCAGCCACTGACAGAGAGGGGACTGGAGGTGCTGAAGCCCAGCAGGAGGGAATGCAGAGCCTCTTTGACACTGCAGGTGGCCTCCCTCCTGCGTGGCTGAGTCTCCACCCACCTGCCTATTGCTCCCCAATGCCCACCGCAGTGAAGTGAAGCCACTGACTCCTGAAGGGGCAACCCCTGTACCACTGGCCAAGCCCAAGGCAGCCCCCTGTGAAGTAGGGGGAGAGTGAGAAGGCCTCACTGCCGCCTGTTCCCCCTCCCTGGCAGTCTTAGCCTGCCCCAGTGGGCAGGCTGGGTGGGCAGTGCTGGGCACTGCTTCCCTGAAGCACCCTGACCCCCGAGGCCTGGGCACAGCCTGCTCCTTATCCTAGCCTTCCTTCCGAGGGCTTTGACCCTTCTATCATTTCCCTGAACACTGCAGGTCCTGTCCCTCAGCAGGCCGCCCCTGTTCCTGCCCTGCCTGCCAGGTGCCCAGTTTGAACCTCGTCCCTGGCTTCTCTGGTCATGGGCCTACTCTGTCCGTGCCTATCAAAGGTAGAAACTCACGTTTTGTGACCTCCCATGGGCTGAGCCTTATGCCGGGGCTCTGCCAGACCGTCCTGGCACTCCACAACCTTTGTGGGCTAGGTGGCTGGATGAAGTGATGGGAGGGGCAGAGACCGGGGGTGCTCCTGGCCTCTGCGGGGTGGGGCAGAAGTTTCTGGGAGCTAGAACTGAGGGGACCTTAGATTCTTCCATCCACACCTTCCTACCCCGGGGCGGGGGGGAGGTGAGGGCCTGGTCCCAGGTGCAGCTGGCCCCAGGGAAGGACTGCAGCTGTGGCCATCGTAGTGGACGCCATTAAGCCACAAGCGGGGCTGGGCGTGAAGAGGGGCAGACAGCTACCTCCTCCCCAGCACTTGCACCTACCCTCACAGTGATCAAGTAGGGTGTCCATCATTGCTGAAGTCTGGGCTGCTTGGGTGGTGAGCCTGGCCCAGGACTGAGGAGAGGGGACAGCCTGGACACTGGAGAGGGTCATGTGGCCAAGGCTGGCCCCCTGGAGGGTGTGCTGTCCTCCCTGGGGACGGGCCTTCAGCAGGTGCTTGGCCGAGGGCCACAGTCTGTGCACTAGTGGAGCTGTTGCACAAATTTGGCCCAAAGCGAGATGTGAAAGTCGGCCCCAAACCTGTATCCAGGCTCCGTCTTGCCAAAGCCTGTCTGTCCTTCCTGGCCCTTGGCCCTGGGCTTCCAGGATGCCACCTGCTCCTGCTGCCTCCTTCCTCTCTGGCTCCCTGCCCACTTCCTCCCTTCCCTACACATCCAGGTTTCTCTGCCCTTCCCCTAAGTACTGGTGCCCAGGCCAGGTGCATGCTGAGCCCCCCACTCACTGCAAAGTGGGAGCCAAGGGCTAGTCTGGCCTCTCTGTGGGCTTACTACAGTTGTCTACAGATGTACTAAGAATGACAAGGATTCACATGAGAGCCCAGATTCAGAATTCTCTTGAGGCCTCTAAAGACCTGGCCCTACTGAGTCCCTGCAAACAATGATAGCCCTTGACAGGGACAGCCCAGGTTACCCCCTTGCCATGCCTCACAGGCTCCTGGGCTTCCACACCCCAGGAACAAGGAACCCCACACTTCTTTGGCCGGCAGTGTTCTTGTTGTCCCCAGGCCCTTAAAGTGCTGGCCTCCTGGATGGCCCCCCTCATGGAGAGTGGGCCCTAATGGAGTCACTGGTATCCCCCTCACTCCACTGCTCTGGAACACTGGCTCCCTGTGGCCAGCCAGGCTCCTAGAGATGGTGTCCTGGTGGGGGCCCTGCGTTTCAGCTCCTGACATCAGGCTGAGGGCACGTGGCTGCTGCAGGAGGCACACAGGAACTGTGCCCTGGCTGAAGACAGGGTGCAAGGGCTTGTCACTTTACCCACAACGGGACAGATGTGCCCCAGCCCATTGGATATGGCCCCCCCTTGGCCTCCGTGCCAGTCTGCTTATGTGGCCACTCTCCTAAGGGTTCAAAATGCCACTCCCCAGGTGACATACCCCACCTAGAAAGAACTTTGCCCCAGCCACACCCTCCCTCGGGTGACACACCTCATCTACAGAGCTATAGAGAACTCTGCCCCAGCCATACCCTCCCTGCGCCAAGCCCTAGGGGCGTCCCCTTAGGGCCCCTGGAGCCCCAAGGGCAGGCCAGGCCTCCGCCCAAACAGGAAGACTGCAGTAGGCTAGGCTGGGCAGGGCAGGCTGGAGCCTGGAGCATCAGGCAGGCTCCGGCTCCTTCCCCAGCCTCACTGAGTGTGGTGCTGGGGAACAGGGAAGCAGGAAGCGAGAGCCAGGGGGCAGCTGGCCTCAGCTGGATCCTGCTTCGGCTTCCTGCAGGAAGGCCAGGGGCAGGAAGGAAGCAGCTTTTCCCGGTGCCTCCTGGACTGCAGGCTGGGTGGACAGGGCCTGCCCAGGCCTCCAGAGCGGTTGGCCAAGGCCCCCGTTAGCTCCAGCCTCCTCCACCAACACCAGAGACTCCAGCCAGTGCTGCCCCTGCCCCAAGTGTGCTAGCTAAACTCAGAAGGCCACGGGAGTGGACTGGCCAACCTGACCAAACTTCGGGGGGGGGGGGGGGGGGGGGGGGGACGATGGCCCAGTGAGATAGCAAAGTAAGTTAACGGGTGGCCGGGCCAGGCTGGCAGGTCGTGAAGCCCTCCACACCCTCCCCAGGCCAGCAGCCACAGCAAGGCTTCCCCAGCACCCAGGTCTCTCTGGAGGAGGCCTGGGGCCAGATGTCCTGGAGGAGGGCTGCAGAGTTCCCAGGGAGCAGCAGGCGCAGCGGGCTGGGGTGGAGGGTGCTGCCTGGATGTCTGGCTGCGCCCTCACACCTGTCTCGGAAACACTGCCTGCTCTTGCCCGGGTGCCTGGAGCTGGTACCTTGGGGACTACCTAGTCTCGGCCACCTCCGTGACCTTGTGTCTCTGTCCCTCTCTGAGAACTCTGAGGTCCCCAGCTGGCCAGTGGGAGCGGCCACCCTAACCTCGGCATCACTGTACTCACAGTGGCCGGGCCGAGTGCCGCACGGGGCACCCACCGACTGCTCGGCCAGGCCGCCCAGTGCAGGCCGGGGAGAATTTCGTGATTCCGGCAGCAAACAAGTGGGGGCGAGCATGGGAGGGGCGTCCTGCCGCACCGCCCGGGCGGGGAAAGGGCGCCGGCGTGGGCTTCCGGCCGCTCCCTGGACCCCCTCGCGCGGCCGGCGTCCAGGTGCGGGGCCGGGGCGGGGCGGGCCGGGGCCGGGGCCGGGGGCTCACCTTTCTGGCCGCCGAGCGCCGCGTACCACGAGAGCGAGAGGAAGGCGCACAGGCAGAAGAGCAGCAGCGTCAGGAAGGGGCCATTGCGGAGCCTCATCTCCTCGGGTGCGCGGGGGGCGCCGGCGGGGCCGAGGCCGCATGGCCCGGGGGGCCGGGGCCGGGGCGCGGGGGCCAGGGGGCGGCGGGGGCCCCGGCCCCGGGGCGGGGGAGCTGCGGGCCCGGGCCGGGCGGGGCGGGGGCCGGCCGGGCGCCGCGCGCGGCCTCGGCTCCGCGGCGGGGCTGGCCGGGTCGGGCCGGGCCGCGCTGGGCTGGGCTGGGCGGCGAGAGCCGCGGCCCGGCCTGGATACGGGGCCGCCGCGGAGTCGGCGGCGCAGGGCGGGGCGGCCCGGATTTAAAGGGGCCGCATCAGCCGCCGCCGCCACCAGCACCGCGAGGGGGCGGGGCAGGCGACCTGCCCCCGGGATCCCGCCCGCCGTCTCGGGACAGCGGCCCAGCGTGGGCCGGCGCGTCCCGGGCTTTGGGCCGCTCTGGGGCTGCCGCCTCAGGTAGGTCGAGGCTGGGGTCTTCGTGAGTGCGCGTCGGCTGCGGTGGAGGCGGCGCGCCGGGGCCCCCGAACCCCTTCTCCGGAACATCTCCATTAGGAAGCCTCCCCCAGATCCATACCCCGGTCCCATTTACGCAGGAACCCTCAGGCCCCGCCCCCAGGTCTGAGGGCTCTAAGCGGTGGGAGGGGAAAGGTATGGCTGGAGCTGGTGTTGCCTCCCGTTCGGAGACTCGGCGGAGTGACAGCAGCCTGCACCGGCGCCCACGGGCACTCCCCCTCTCGTGACCTTTCTCTAGACTGCCGGGTAAAGGGTGCTGGGAATGGGCAGGTGCTCTTGCTCTGTAAAATAGGGACAGTGGGCCATTTTCAGGATAAAAGAGCCAACGTATGTAGGTGCTGGGCACTCAGCGGGGCTGGCCTCCGGCACCAGGCGCATACGGGCAGGTGGCAGGCGGAAGCGCAGAGTGGTGCGGACTGCCTCCCCTAACGGTCCAGCGCCGCCTCTGCCTTCACTGCAGGGAGTTTACACCTTCCTTCTGTCCTAATTGCAGGCTTTCCTCAGCCCTCTGTGGAACCGGGAAGGGTACAAACAGTAAAGGGATTCGTCCAGCGCAGGCACTGGGGCAGCGCCCTTGTCACTTCCCTGCTTGGGCCTGGGCAGCATTCCTCAGTCCTGGTTCCCAGCTTTGGCTGCAAGGACCCCTGGGGGCCCACTCTTGGGGTGGGTTCAGACTGGGAGGCGTTAGGGGTTTGTTTTCCTCTCCCAGCCCAGGCCCACACCTGGGGCAGCATGCCAGAAGCTGGGCGTTGGTCTCTGCAGAGGTACTTAGCCAGCAGCAGGTGAGGCAGGGCCGGGAAGGGAGGCCTGTTTTCCTGAAGGCTGGATTCTAATGCTGACACAGCGGGAGTGTGCTCGCTAATGAACTTGAACTGAGATGGGCCTTGGCAGAGCCTTCTGCAGGACACTGTCTCGCTTTGTAAGAAGTTCCTGTGTTTTCACAGGCATCTTCTATTTGTGGCCAGAGATAATGCTTTTTCATCTGGACTGTGATACAAAGGGTATAACATTTTTTCTAAATGTGTATTTAAGTTTAAAAGTGGGTTGATTTAACGAAAATTATTAAAGCAGTAAAAATTAAAGAGATGATGTCAGTGACTAAAGTTTGGGCAGCTCACCTGAGTCCCCTCGGCCTCCACACCCTGAAACTGATGGCTGGGGTTGGGCAGCCATAGAGGTCCAGGCTGTGGAGAGGGCAGTCTCTCCAGAGTCCCCCAGCCAGTCTGCCTGTCCGGGCTCCTCCCCACTGCCAGGCAGAATCCCAGGAGGGGTGCTCTGTGCTATGAAAGGGGCACACACCCACCACTTGTCTGAGAATGGGTCAGCACCAGGCCTGACTATCCTGCCAGGGCTGTCACCGGTGAGAAGAGACACCCTGAAGGAAAGCCAGGGTGCTACCAGCAGGATGGGGCTGGAAGTGGGATGGTCACGGAAAGGGAGCGGAAGCTTCCCCAGTCACCCAGGGTCTGTAGAAATGACATCCTTGCTTCATTAGTTCCTGTGTGCAGTCATTCATTCTTCCTGCCCACTGCTGCCGAGGGCCCCCCTCGGCCTGGGCCCTGCTGTCCCAGCGCTGAGAGGCCTTTAGCCCAACCCTTCCTGTGGCCTCCGTACTCCCAACTTTTCCCTTTGAGACAGGGCTAGTGTTCCCCTGTTCTCTGTGCCTCTGCGGTAAGGAATTCCTCGGGGCCCGCCTGCAACTCAGACTCCTCCCGGGCACTTCCAGGCAGGTGAGCTCTGCCTGTCACCCTGCGGCCCAGGGTGGGGCACCCCCTCACCTGAGGCTTCAGTTTCTTGTGCCTGGGGACAGTAACTCCATTCCCCACCCAGGAGAGAGGATGGAGCCAAATGGGCACAGAAAAGTCCTGCTTTCTCTTCAGACCCCAGGCTGTGGGCCCTTCCTCCTTTGTTCTTCTTGCTTCCCACGGAATGAAAATGCCCTTTTGTGTTGGGGTTACATGCCAGCCCTCAGCTCAGTTTGCCTTCCTGGAGATTGTCTGGGACAGCTCTTGGAGGTGGCCGGTCCTTCCATCCTTCTTCACAGGGCTTCTTTACCTGTGGTTCAGGGATCCAGAATTGGGCAAGTCCAGCTGAGATGAGAAAAAAAAAATCTGTCTTTATTTTCACCAACCTCTGACCAAAATTTGGTATTTCCTTTAATTATGAATGGAGGCATCAAAGTTCAGCCGAATGAGCAGTGTTACCACACAAAAATGGAGCTCGAGGGGGCCAGCTTGGTGGCATAGCAGTTAAGTTCTGGCACTCTGCTTTGGCAGCCCAGGGTTCCCCTGTTCGTATCCTGGGCATGGACCTACGCACTACTCATCAAGCCATGCTGTGGCAGGCATCCCATATATAAAGTAGAGGAAGATGGGCACAGATGTTAGCTCAAGGCCAGTCTATTTTTTTTTTTGAGGAAGATTAGCCCTGAGCTAACATCTGCCGCCAATCCTCCTCTTTTTGCTGAGGAAGACTGGCCCTGAGCTAACATCCGTGCCCATCTTTCTCTACTTTATAAGTGGGACGCCTGCCACAGCATGGCTTACCACACAGTGCCATCTCCACAGCCAGGATCCGAGCCGGTGAACCCAAAGAGCCGGTGGGCCACCAAAGCACAACGTGTGCACTTAACCGCTGCGCCACCAGGCTGGCCCCAGGGCCAGTCTTCCTCAGCAAAAAGAGGAGGATTGGCAGCAGATGTTAGCTCAGGGCTAATCTTTCTCAAAAAAAAAAAAATGGAGGAAGATGGGTACAGATGTTAGCTCAGGGCCAATCGTCCTCAAAAAAAAAAAAGGGGGGGGTTTCCTATGTGATGCACATAAACAAGCCAATTAATTACAGCTTCAGCTTTTGGGAGAAGAGTTCAGCTGTATTCTGTGAGGTCGATCTGCAAGGATACTGGGTGTGTGCCTTCAGATCTGTCTCCTTGATTCAGATCTGTCTCCTTGATTCATGATTTGGGGCCAAATTTAAGAGGTTAAGAGAACAGGCTGGCACGCAGAAATGCTGGCAGGACAGGGATTTTTGTTTTTGTTTTTGTTTGAGGAAGACTGGTCCTGAGCAAACATCTGAGTCCATCTTCCTCTACTTTATATGTGGGACACTGCCTCAGCATGGCTTGACGAGCGGTGCCATGTCCGCACCTGGGATCCGAATCAGCCACCCAGGCTGCTGAAGCAGAACGTGTGCACTTAACTGCCTCGCCACCTGGCAGCCCCCAGGATAGGTTTTGACTGGTGGGCTTCAAGCACTATGGTGAGGTTCTAAGCATTTCTGATGAGGTTCTAAACTTTTACCACAGGACTCTAAGCATGTTTGATGAGGTGGGGAAGGAATTTGAACACCGGATCTTCCTGCATGACGGACTCTTCACTTCTGCTAAGAGTCGACTTTTTTTTTTTAAAGATTGGCACCTCAGCTAACATCTGTTGGCAATCTTTTTTTTTTCTTTGTGCTTTTTCTCCCTGAATCCCCCCAGTACATAGTTGTATATTTTTTTAGTTGTGGGTCCCTCTAGTTGTGGCATGCAGGACGCCACCTCAGCATGGCCTGAGGAGTGGTGCCATGTCCGCGCCCAGGATCTGAACCAGCAAAACCCTGGGCGCCAAAGTGGAGCACGTGAACTTAACCGCTCGGCCACGGGCCGGCCCTGAGATTTCTTCTGTGCGTGCTCTGGCTAATACAACTTTGCAAATTTTCTGAAAGACAGTTTCTTCATTACTCTATTGATAAGATGGGGCCAGTTGAACTGGTCCTGGAAGGCCCAAGGTGACAGTAGTACTTGTGACTGCCACACAGAAATCACAGAGCTTTTCATACTCACTACAGGTGTTGCAGACGCTTCAGTAACCATTACACACTCACAACTATTTCATATTTCTGTTATTCATTAGTCCTGCCTCTATATCTCATAAGTTAATGAGTTAATAAAGAATCACAGGTATTTCTATATCACAAATTTGTGTGTTTTTCTATATTGATATCTGCATTTCAATACTAGTAGTCTTTTTGTAATGTGATATACTTTATTTTATGCATTTCGAACCATGGTTCTGGGGGGTCCTTGGTCTTCACCAGAGGCTGATGATGGCTGGCACAGTGGGCATTTGGCAGTCCTGCCCTGAGGATCCCTTGCCTCATCCCTCCACTGGCCCTTTCCTAAGATGTCTCCCTCCCTTATTCATTCAGAACACATGTTCTGAGTGTCCACCATGGGCCAGACGTGCTTGAGTCACTAGAGATACAGACACACTGTGTGCTAACATTGATCTGGTCCCTGCCCTGCCAGAGTCCTGCCTGCAGCCACCGTGCCCAGTGCTGGAAAGGTAAGTTTCATGGAACTCAGAAAGCTTATAATGGGTGAAATTACTGTGCCAAAGGACAGAGGGCCTCCCTGGGAAAGTGAAGTTAGGAGTTTGACGCAGGGGAGAGGAGGAGTTGCTTCAGCAAAGGATGGATCAACATATGCAAATAAATATGCAAATATATTCAAGGAGCCCCCAGGCCAGCCTGGGTAGGGCTCTGTGAGAGAGGGGGCCTGGGGTAGGCAGGGGCAGGGCTGAGAACCAGTCC